ATTTAGGAGGCAGAGAAAAGAAGGCTCCGTATTCTCCAGAATCAAAATAGTCCACAGCTTTCTCTTCCCAGCCTGACTTCTCAGCCATTCCCATGTGTCCTACTGGGGGTGGGGGGTTGGGGGGTAGGAGAGCCCAGTGTGCCACCTTTTCCAGTCTGACTAATTGGCCTCTGGCCCTTCACTTCCAGAAGCTGAGGTCAGTTTCCACACTTGTAGTATATGACTTGGACTCAGTTCCCAGGAAAGGATGCTGCTTGAAGCCTGAGAGTAAAGCCAAAGGGAACATGTGGCAGAAAGAGGGCATCTTGTTTAATATCCTTCTCTCTGCCAGTCCCCTCAGGGCAACCATTACTGCATTACTGAACACTTAAAACAAGATTCTATAGAAGACTTGATCCAAAGGGGGAAAATGCAGAACAAATTCAAATTCGCATGGAATCCAGACTTTCTGAAGTCATGGAGGCTGGATGAACCCCTAAAATGAGTGCTCTGAGATAATCTTTAAACCATAAGCCAGAAATACCCTGAAACCTTAAAACCAAACAGTAGTTTAGTTTAACTAGTAAAGAATGTCTGCCTTGACTATTATGCTCATTTAATGATCAAACTGATAAAAAGCAATTCAAAAGATTAGATGGGAACCTTGAGGAGGACAATATGAGTTTAACTCGGGAGGAACAAAGCTAAAAGGCGAGTGAGAATAGTTATACAACTCGAAGAATATAATCAGTGTCGTTGAAGTATACAAATAGAAAGCTGAATTTGGCTGTATTTATTAATAACAACAAAAGTACATGAATAAAAACAACAAAAAGCCCACATAGCAAGGCCATTTTCCAGTCGTGCAATCCATGCACGATGAACAGATCAGGGTCCTTCATGTCTTCCTGCCACTGGAGTGATGAAATGCAGGGCCAGGGCCTGATGGGGAAGAAGCTATTGGTCTAGTTTTGTCAGAAGAGATGAGGTGCAGGACAAGCAGTAATCAAGGGCAGAGATCCTGAGATCCACCTGACATGAAGGTAGTAACACAGCCTCTCCTCTTCCTGCCTTCAGACTGCACAGGGCTGACTGGCTCTGTGGAAAGGGTGTTGGCTTACAAATGCAAGCTGCTGGTGACAAAAGAGAGAGCTCAAGTGGATGGACAGCCACTTCTGCACAGAAGTGACCCTGGTTTGTCTTTGAGGGTGAGTGAACAGCTGTGTCCCTAGAAAGTAAGTACATATGGGTCTACATGACTATGGCACCTTGGGTTTACTTGATGGGGCTTTTCTATCCAATGGTCTTAATTCCACCAAGTGATTGAGTGGGACCATGCAAATAGGTATAAAGGACTCTAAGACTGGGATTGGTTAGTTTTGCCCTCCAGCTGTGTTTAAAAGGAGCCATCACTGAAGCAGGGAATGGACAACCCCAGGACTATCAAGAAGGAAGAGCAGGAGTAGATTGTAAGATCCCTCCCTAGAAAAGTAGGGACAGCAGAGATGGTGGACTGGAAAGATAGAGCAGCTTCGGGCTCTAGGTCCATGGACTGAGTACAGGCAGGAAACTGGCTTGCAGAATGTGCCCTTTGGGTAGTCACAGGTTTGCTAAAGGAGTTTTGTAACACTTGCCCAAGCAGGTCAGAGGCCAAGGGGGCCACATGGCTGAGAGGCCGAAAAGAGGAGTGAGACGTGCCTGTAGTCTGGCAGACAAGAGGTGTTCCTGACTGGACAGCTGCTGCAGTCTGAGTTTTTCTGATCCTGAATTGTACCCTGTTCACTTCCCTAATCAACCCCATAATCTTGAGTATTGTTAATGAGTTCTGTTGACAACTGCAATGGATTATTGAACCCAGATGTGAAGCAGAGAGTGCTGTGGGGAGGCTGGTTGGCATCAGAAGATTGTAGGGTGGAGGCATGTCTGAACTCTGCTTCATAGGAATTGGCCTTGATTCCCTTTCCCCCTTGTGAATTCCGGGGAAGTCAGACATGGGCTTCCACTTGGCTCTTCAATGACACAACCTTGCTTGCTGTAAATGAAGGAGACCTGAAGGACTTACTGATGACGATCAAAGATCACAGTCTGGATGACACCTCAACATACAGAAAACGAACATCCTCATAACTAGACCAATAAGCAACATCAAGATAAAAAAGTTGGAAATAGAAATACTGTGTGACCCAGCAACCCCTGCATTTGATATCTGTCCTCAACAACTAAGAGCTGCAATTCACAACTAGATAACATGCACACCAAGGTTCACTGCAGCGCTGTTCACAATAGCAAACAGATGGAGACAGTCTAAATGCCCATCAGCAGAAGAATGGTTAAATACACTTTGGTGCATATACACAATAGGATATTATACAACACTGAAGAACAGTGAAGAATCTGCAAAACACCTCACAATATGGATGAACCTAGAGGACATTATACTGAGTGAAATTAGTCAATCACAAAAGGACCACTGTTGTAAAAAGTTAAAAGATTTTCTTGCTAAATGAAACATTTTGTGATGGTTACAAGGGGAAGGGGAAAAATAAATGGAGGTAAACACTGTTTTAAAAAAATAACGATAAATGGAAGAAATATTGAAGTTGCCAAGGATTTCATTTTATTTGTATCCATAATCAACGCTCATGGAAGCAGCAGTCAAGTAATCAAATTGCATATTGCACTGGGCAAATCTGCTTCAAAAGACCTCTTGAAGGTCTTCAAGAGCAAAGATGTCACTTTAAGGACTAAGTTGCACCTGACCCAAGACATGGTATTTTCAATCTCCTCATACACAATGAATGAGAATAAAGAAGACCAAAGAAGAATTGATGCCTATGAATGATGGTGTTGGCAAAGAATGTTAAATATATTATGTTCTGCCAAAATAAACATGTTTTTCTTGGATGCTCCTTGGAAGGAAGGATGGTGAGACACTGTCTCACATACTTTGGACACATTGTCAGGAGGGGCCAGTCCCTGGAGAAGGAAAGACATCATGTTTGATAGTCACTGAAAAACTGGCAGACCTTCAACAAGGTGGACTGACACAGTGGCTGCCACATGGTTTTGAGGATGGCACAGGACTGGGCAATGTTTCATTCTGTTGACATAGGGTTGCTGTGAGTTGGAACTGACTCAGTAGCACCAAACAACAACAGAAGCTTGAGACTGACTCAAATCTCCCTTCAGCCCAGATACTTTTCAGGCCTCTGCTTAAATGTGGGTACTGAGGTTGTACCAATCATCACTGCTGACTTCCTAATCCAGACTACTTGGGTGTCCCTGTATCTGCAGAACCGCTCCGTAAGGTCTTCAAGGCTGTGACCTGTCAGAAGCAGATTGCTGGGCTTTTCTTCTGAGCCACTCGGGGGAGGTTCAAACCCTTAACCACTTGTGTGACCCAGAGACTCCTGACTTCCTAATAGATCTGCCAAAAAAAAGGGAAGAATCTTCACCAAAATTTGAAGTTTACAGTACGTACTAAAACCAACAGGCTTCAACTGACCCACTGGCTCTCCATCCTTCCTGAGGTGCTAGGAAGGGAAGACAGAAGAAAAGCAGATTCTGTGGCCAGGGCCCTCTTGGGCTTCCAATCTATGGCTTGCCGGGCCTCCTAAGTACTTGCCTGGACCTCCACACTTCTGAGAAACTGCCTTTTCTCTAGACTTTCTAGCCTTCTGGAGGTAAGCCAGTCAAGCAAGATCCTTTGGCTCTTGTCTGCCAGGGTCCTTAGTTAAGGGTGCTCAGTGGAGGAATTTACTTGCTGGCTGAGGAAGCCATTATTGTCCTTGCCTCTGTGGTATCCAGTTGGTTCTGGGCCAAACTGGCTTCTAGGGAAAAAAGCAGAAACCATGTTTTGGGCCCTGAAGGTCCCAGGTAGGTACTCTGGGGGCTTGTGCCCATGCCAAGAGGCCTGGGTGTGGTGGCTCCTCTCAGGCTTTGACCACAGGTGGGCGTATTTGCCAAGGGTCAGGAAGGCACAGTCCTACCTTCTTCCAGGTCAGATCGCTCTGAGAGACCATGGCTCCCTCCTCGAGTCTCTTCTCCTAGCTCTCCAAGGTAAAAGACAAAGGAGCCGCATTGCCCAGTTGCAGATTTTGCCTCAGGCAACTAAATTTATTAGCAAGAGAAAATTTTTGTCAGCTCAGTGCTGACCAACGAAGTACATTGTTAATAAAGGATAACAAATCTTTTCACTTAATTCATAAAACATACCTCAAGCAGTTACAACTAAAAATAAAGTTGGATTTTTGTTTAATTTAAAAGCCTCAAAAATAACAAGCAATATGTTTGTTTAAACATGTAGTAGACACAACTGTCTATTATACACTATACACTGTACACATGTAGAGCTGGGGCTGGGGCAGGAGAGATGAGGTGGACAGGGAAGAGGTTCAGTATGTGACGGTGTTTTAATCTGAATCCAGATCTGAATTGAAATGCTGTGTTATTGAGAAATGAGAATTGCTAGTGAGAAAAAAGTTCATATACTTATCATTGTCCCCCAAACCCTCACCTGAAAGCACACGGGGGAGGTGAGTAACAAGGAAAGGCAGAAGAGAGCAATTAAATCAAACTTCTGTGAAGCACACACGGTACACAGTGCTCATCATCTGAAGTCGAGTATAAGGCAACGTTCTCCATAGAAAAACAGGGCAATGGGGAGGATCCATGGGCAGCTTCTTTTTAAATAGAAAGTTGGAATGTGCTGGAGGAGAACTGTGGCGGGGCTGAGGACCTACGGAGTCAGATAGGGCTGGCAGGGGGAGCCCTGGGTGAAGGGCCAGGGAGGAGCCGGAGGGGGTGGGACATGGCACGAGGCGACGACTGGAGTTGGCCAGGCCTAGGCTCAGGCTCCAGGTCACTACAGTGTTAGGGGAAGGGAGGGGATGGGGCAGGGCTCACTTTGCTCCTGGACGGAGTGAAATTCACGTTTTTCCTTTGGAAATAAGGGTTCCCACTCGTCCTGGTTTAGAACGTCTCATTGGGCATGGCCAGTGTCCATGGTCTGGGCAGGCCAGGAGCTCGTGGTGAGAAGGAAGGGGTGGGGTAGAGCCAAGAGGCTTCTGGAGAAGGAGTAGGGGGCAGCAGAGCCCCTTCCTTTGGGGGACACAGTTGCAGAACAGGATAGAGGGCTGAGGGTGAGCCCGGGGCGGCCATAGGCCACCTTTCAGCCAGAGGTCCAGTCAGGACATGGACGGGGGACTGCATCTTCGAGGCCTGCCGCCTCAGCTGGCCTTACAAGTTTTTCGTGACCAGGTGGGTCTTGTAATGCTTTGTGAGGTGGTCACTCCTCATGAAGCGCTTCTGACACTGGGCACACTCGAAGCGCTTGTCCCCTGGAAGAGGAAACGCCCATCACAACATTGTCCTGGGCCTCGAAAGGCAGGGCACCCGGCAGAGCTGACGCCACCCCTCCCCAGGTTCCGCCCCTCTCTAGCCTGTACCCTCGCTGCTTCTTGAGTCCTCACTGCTCTCTCCCACTTGACCTCCATTCCCTGTCCCCTGCCCAAGACACTTGTATTTTGCCTCTGGCCCGTGGGACTCTTCCCATGCAGAGATCATCTCCTGCTCTCTCCTGCTTTTTGTCCCTCAGACTTTCGAATCGTTCTGCCCTCACCAGCCCTGCCCACTTGGTTGTCTGAACTGCACTGGCCTACCCTAGGTTAGCTGCTGCTCTGTGGTATATTTATTTTTTGGCCTAGGAGGGGGTGGTGTGACCTGTCTCGTGACACTGGCCACGAGTCAAAGCTTTGGCATCTGTCCCAACCCTGGTCCCAGGGGCCTTCACTGTAGCAGTGTTTCTCAGGGTACATGCTATGGCCAATGGGGACATCCAAGACAAGTTTAGCTGGGAATGAATGAACATTCTTTGTTTTTATTTGCCAGTGTGTTAATAAAAGTAAAACTATGGACATCTCACTTGTGATGTCAGACAGTAGTGCACAAGACACAAATGAGTGAGAACGGTGAGCCGATGTAAGGAAAATCATGAGGTAACTCACAGGAAGGGCAGGGGGGTTAGAAGCACCGGTTCAGGAGCCAGCTCTCTTAGGTTTGAACTCCCCACCCCCATCACTAGTCATGTGACCCTGTGCACATGACTTCACTTCTCCAGGTCTTAGTCAAATGGGGGCAAATCCAAGGATTCCAAGGAGCAGAGGTGAGGCTTAAATTAGTTCAGATGCAAAGTGCACACATCGTACAGTGCCCAGCCCACTAGGTCTGTGCTTATTAAATAACTGCACATCTGGCAGAAATCATTGGGTTGTGCAAGGAAAATGATGTGATTTTGGGAATTGCTGTGCTGGGGAATGACTTGAAGGAACCCCAAGAAGGCAGTGACAGGGAGGACGAGGTGGGTGGGGTGTACAGACCTGTGTGAGTGCGAGCGTGCCTCTGGAGCTCGTCGCTCCGCGTGAACCTCTTTCCACAGAAGAACCAGTTGCAGACAAAGGGCCGCTCACCGGTGTGCAGACGCACATGGGCCCGCAGCAAGGACGTCTTCCGGAAAGTCTTGCCGCAATCGGGGATGTGGCACACATGCTTCTTCTTACCCTGTTCTCCAGACCTGGGAATCAGGGTGAGGGCAGGATGGAGGGAGAGGAAGAGGGAGGAGGAAGAAGACAGGGACCAGGATGTGAGGTTAGGTCAGGGAGCGGAAGTCGGAGCCACCTCATCTGCTTTGAGACTGGTGGCTGTCTCCAGGAGGAGCTGGTGGTCCGGGCCCCTCTCCTCCTGTTACCTTTTCTCCCCATCCTTGCAGTTGGGGCACGTGCAGGCCATGCGGCGCCGCTTCTCCCCAGGAGGGGTCTCTCCAGCCAGGGCCTGCTCCATCTGCAGCTGTATCTGGGTGGGGCTAAGTCCACTGATGGTCAGGTTGTTCCCAGAAACATTCTGCACTGTCAGTTGCTGCTGCCCTGTAGGGAGGGGGAGGGCAGTCAGGGAAAGGAAGCCTACTGGGGTAGAGGAGGGAGCCTGACACCCCAGATCGACCCTTCTACGCTTCTGCACATAACAGTAGCAGCTCATTATTTTTGATGGCCACATAACCTTCCTAAGGACATTGTATGTGTTAATTTATTTTTCATAACAACTCTATGAAATAGGTGCTTTTATTCCCGTTTTGCAAATGAAGATACAGAGACTCAGTAACATCAGTTCCATAGCTAGTAAGTGGTAGAACTGGGATCTAAACGCAGGCAGTGAACTTCAGAGTCAACATCCTGAACCACTGTATGAAGCAGGCAGAATTCACTTTAAGACAATGCCCCCGTGATTTCAGTTGGGAAGGCTACTGTACTGGGGTCTTGGGGGTATTTCTTAGGTCCTTGGGAGATACTAACTCCGCTTTCTGGAAAGTCTCCAGGAATTTTTGTTGGCAAAAAGAAAAAACAGTTCTATGGATTTTGGAAAAGCTCAAACCATCCATATCTTCCATGGAAGGAGTCCCTCTGAGTTGGAGTCTTGGCGCCACTGAGTTCTGCAAATTCCCTACAGGAGAAGAGGAGCTTTGTCTTCCCTACTCTCTTGGGGTCATCTCAAGTGGGAGACCACCAAAGGGATGATGAGCAGTAAATGCATTAAGGAGAAAAAGAAGCAGTTCAAGGATCCACTACCTGGACCCAGGCGAAGAATGCTAGGTGGTTACAATTCTTCCTTAGCTTATTACTAAGGCTGCTTTTACCACAGAAATCTGTCCTGTGAAGTGCAGCACATACCACAACCCCCCACTGCAGAAGGCTCCCTCCATTCCTGCCAACCTTAACTCAAAACTTTCTCCTCCATGGGGCCTTTCTGGAAGTTCTTGGACACCATCTCCCTGTACCAACTGAATTTGCATCTGTGTTAGCTGGTGGGTTTTTCTGAGCACATCTTATTTTCTCCATCACATTCAAGGCCTTCAGCTGTCAGGTGGGAACTCTGTGTCTTAAACGATCTCACAGGGCTACTGTAAGGACCAATGGAGAAAAGGCGTGGACACGCTTCTAGGCTGGACGGGACTAGGCAGCCGATAGGTGGGGGCTTCCCCTCACCGCCAGTATTGGTGATGGTGACAGGCACGCCTTGGACCTGGACGCCATTGATGTTGATGGTCTGCATGGCCTGGGCAGCTGCTGCCAACTGGGCTGCATTCAGGCTGATGATGCTCCCAGCGGGGGCAATCTTTGGCAGGGGCCGCTCTTTTCGGAGGATGGCAGCTGAATGCTTTTTGCTGGTCCCACTAACATGGGGAGCCCGGGATGCAGGGCTGCTACAGGTGGTGGTAGAGGTGGTCACAGCTGTTGCTGGGGGGCTGTCTTGGACAAGGACCGTCTGCACCTCACCGGAAGGCGTGCGGATGTAGACCTGGGAAGAGCAAGAGAAAACAGTGCCCCAACAGAAGTCAGTTCCCTGCCCTGGTAGGTTTGAATCACTGACCTTTAAGTTAGCATCCCTAAGCTTAACCCACAGTACCACCAGGAATGCCTTTTCTTGCATTAAAGTAAGGCTAAATATAAAGTCTACAACTACAAATTCATCTTAAAGACACACTTAGGAAGAGATCTCGTTTGTCACCCAGGGATATGCACCCGTGTGCATACTATAACAAACATGGACAAACTTGAAAACATTATGCTAGATGAAAGAAGTCACATAGAAGGCCACATATTATGATTTCATTGATATGAATGTCCAGAAAAAGCAAATCCACAGTGACAGAAAGTAGACTGGTGATGACCAGAGACTCAGGGGAGAGGTGGTGGGAAGTGACTGCTTTTGAGGTAACTAGGTTTCTTTTGAAGTAGCTCTGGTAGCGTAGTGATTATGAGTCAGGCTGCTAACCTCAAGATCAGAGGTTTGAAACTACCAGCCATTCATTCCCATGGAAGAAAGATGAGACTTTCTGCTCCTGTAAAGATTTACAGCCTCAGAAACCCTATGCAGGGTCACTATGAGTTAGAACTGACTCCATGACACATAATCACCACCACCACCAGGTTTCTTTTGACGACATTTTCTAAAGGTGCACAGTGGTGATGGTTAACTTGTGAATATACTAAGAATCACTAGTATAAAGAAGTCCTGGTGTGGCCCTGTGGGCTAATGCATCAGACTGCAAAGTCATTTGAACTGCAAGGTTGGCGGTTCAAGCTCACTAGCTGCTCCTTGGAAACCCTATACAGGGTCACTATGGGTCGGAATTGACTCAACAGCACTTAACACAACAACTAGAATAAAACAAAACCATATGTTAAAAAGAAGAGCCAACCCGAAAGCTCCTGGCCAAAGCTGGAGTCATTTAAGCAACAAAACAAACAATGTAGCATTAGCTGAGTAACAACCCTAAGTACAAAGGAAATATACATGAGACCTTACTGATATAATAAATGGGAAAAAAGAGACAAATCTTCCAAGAAAAATTCTTCACCACTGAAAGTGGGTTAAGGCTTGATGAGTAGCTTCCCTTTACAGTGGAGAAATACTCCTTTGCCAAGTAATAAAGGTTAACTTCCCCAAGGGTATCATGTACCCTGATATAAATGTGATGAGAAGGGCATTTTGTCTCTGCCATGTGCTTTCCAAAAACCGCTAACAATTTAATCATGAGAAGAAATCAGACAAACCCAGATCAGAGGACATTCTACAAGCTACCTAGCTAGTAGGTCTCCAGACTGTCAGGGTCATGTAAAGTCTGGCATTTAGCTACGAATAATGCATCAGTGTCGGTTTCTTAGTTTTGACACACATGCTAATATGTTTGTCAACAAGGGAAATAAGATGAGAGGTATAGGGAAACTCTATACTATCTTGGCAACTTTTGAGGGAAATCTAAAATTATTCTGAAACAAAAAGTTAATTTAAGAAACTACCATCATAGTAAAACAACAAGTTGCTGTTGAGTGTATCCTGAAACACTTGCCTCCATAGGATTTTTTCAAAGGCTGGGATCTTTTGGAAGAAGGTTGCCAGGCCTTTTTTCCAAGGTACCTCTGGGTGGTTCTGAATTGCCAATCACTCAATTAATAGCTGTTTTTAATAAAAAAAAAAAAAAGCACTGGTGGCACTATGTGTCAGGCACTGGGCTGCTAACGTCAAGGTTGGCAGTTCAAATTCATCAGCTGCTCCAAGGGAGAATGATGAGGTTATCTGTTCCTGTAAAGATTTACCATTGTGGGAAATCCTATCCAGGATTACTCTGAGTCAGAATTGACTGAAAGCAGTGGGTTTGGTGTTTGGTTTGTACACAGTAAAAAGGACCCCTGTGGGAACAGTGGGTTAAGTATTGAGCTACTTATGAAAAGTCCAGTTGTTCGAATCCACCAACTACTCCATAGGAGAAAGATAAGGCCAACTGCTTCCAGGGAGATTTAAAGGCTTGGAAACCCTATGGAACACTTCCACTCTATCCTAGAGCAGAATCTACTCAGTGGCGGTGGATTACCATAGTAAAAGTGAGACTTTAGAATAAGTAGGTGAAATCCTGTTATGAACGAAGTATTTACATTGTCTCAAAGTATCTCCCCACAAAATACTTAATTACAAATCAAGTAACTTCATGGTAAAGAAACTTGCCAGACATCACTGTACTCATCATCAGTAATGTTGTTAAGTGTCATTGAGTTGGTTCCACCCCCTAGTGATCCTTTATAGGGTTTCCGAGGAGCAGCTAGTAACTTCAACCGCCAACCTTGTAATGTGATAACCTAAAATCATGTACCACACTCTTTAGGACACAGTGAGAACACAGTATCACTTTGTGATGTTTCTGCAAAAACTACAAAACCTTTCAATACCACTAAGATAGAAGAACAAGCAGAAAAAAGGATTAAAAAATCTGAGGAAGGTCTAAGATTCACATTGGACAACATGAAGAGGAATAACTTAAGAATTATCGGCATTCCAGAATAGGAATAAAATTTTCCTAACATCCTGAAAAGTGAAAAGATAAGCATTCAAGAATCTCAATGAATCCCAGGAAGGATAGACCCTAAAAGATAATCACCAAGACATATAATAATCAAGCTCTCTAAAATCAAAGATAAGGACAGAATCCTAAAGGCAGGTAGGGAAAAGAGACGTGTAACATACAAAGGCAAGCAAATCAAATTAAGCTCGGATTTCTCAACAGAAACCATACAGGCAAGAAGGCAATGGGGAAACATATATAAAACCCTGAAAGAAAAAAAAATGCTGACCCAAGAATCCTCTACCTAAGCTGTCAATCAAATACAATGGTGTAATCAAAACATTCCAGGATAAACAGAAGCTAAGGGATTTTGCCAAAGCCAACCCTGTGATGAAAAACATCCTAAAGGGAGTTCTGTGGACAGAGAACCAACAGGAACAAACAACCAGAGATTGACGTACATGGCAGCATCACCCGGAAGTCAATCGACAAATGGAAGAGTCAAGAACAGAATAAAACTATAAGAACAAATTCAGAGGCTCTGGGAGGTCAGTCTATGATCAAAACAATTACAGTGGGAAAGAAGGTAAACAAAGAGGAACAGAGATCTAGGTGGTGGTAAGGTCAGTTATATTACAGGATAAAATAGACTGACTTAAATGGAGGGAAGAGTTAACGGAATGTAAGATAACCACAATGGTGAGGTTGGGGTGGGAGGCTTAGGGGGAGGTGGAGGGAGGCGATGGTAGAACACAGGGTAAGGGCAGACACATCATGTTTTGGGTGTTGGGGAGGGCAATACAAGAAGGGTGAGGAGGTGGAAGAACAAGGTAGCTAGGGGAACACCAAGACAGGTTTGCACAGGCTAAGTGGGACAGAGGTAAATAATGATGCATGCTCAACCTTGAAACACCAGGACTCTGTGATACAGGGATCTAGGCATGGTTTGAAGAGGGGAAATACTACTAAGATGCTTGACTGTCTTATGAATATTAGTTTCTCTTGCCTACTATTGTAAAACAGACAGTTGAGTGGGATAGAAAAGGATGTTTGGAAACATGATTAGAGAAAACTTGTAAGCCCGTCTTCAGCCTGTAACTGACTGGAATACCTCAAAGGGGTTCTAGAACTTGCCCAGTGAAACAGGCCTCTTGTGGAGCCTTTGCAGAGTATAGGGCCTTAAGGTGGAATCCTGAGTCCCATTCAGAAACTTCTGAGGTGGGACATTCCCACTAGAAAGGACAAGCAGACCAGCCTGGAGCAGGTAGAACGTCTTAAGATGCATCTTCAAAGAAGGATCATCAGAAAAAAAAAAAGTGTCAGTATGACAGGCTACTGCAAGAATAAGCAAGCTGTTCGCCAGGAAGTCATCAAAGCAAGCAATCAAATTCCTTCAGGACGAATCCCCCTCTAAAACCGAAACTCAAAGGGAACACACAAAGAAGCATGTCAGCTTGCTGGTGACCATGTTGGTGAGTGGAAGAGGGGGAAGGCAGTAATGAAGAAATGGGCTGAGTTCAATCACAGTCCACTGACTCCCAGTGACCTGGAGATGAGAGAGAGAAGAGGAAGTGTTGGTTGGTTCAAAGTGCAGTGAGACCTGGAGACACCTGAACCCATGGACAAGGACATAGCCACAGAGGGCTAGAGCTAAGAGTGAAGCATCCAGCTGATATGAAGTGAGGGGAGAGGCACAAGAACACCCAAACTTGCAGATTGTACCCATTTGACCTACCCTCGATGGCTTGATAATCAGAACTCGATAGAGGAAACAAGGGTAAATTGCTACAATTTGATGAACCTGACCTATACTCATGGAGGCAGTAACTCTAAATACATCAAGTATCAATGCTATCCCCTCTGTACACAGGGCAGATAGGGACGGGCAACTTAGACATTGGCTATCTAAAATGAGGGGGCAATAAAGACGTGAAGTGACTGGCTTACAAGATTTCAAGAGGGAGTTTAAGAGTGTTGGTGCGGAGAAAGAGTCCCCGCTGAATAGTTGTCATCGTGTCTAGATGGGTCTGATGAAAAAAGATGGGAATAAGATTCCTATGATTCAATAGTGAGTCACTGTTATCATGACTAATTGCTACTGTCACAATTGTAAAGGTTGAAGTTTTTAAACAAAAATGTGGGAGCAGTTAATCTTACAGTCTAGAAACAAAAGACCCTAGGACCATCAAGGAAGAAGAGCACAAGCAGAATGCAGGACCTTACCTAGAGAAGCAGCGACACCAGAGATGGAGGCAGAGATGGGGACATGGAGAGGGAACAGCTGAGGACTCTGGACTCATGGAAAGAGAGGGATTAAAAGCTGGCGGCCAGAAGTCAAAATTGCAGAATGTGCCCTTTGGTGGTGTAAATTATTATATATGCCTGAGTGTTTTTTTAAAAAAGAGCTAAAGCGAATAGAGAGAAATACTGTTAACTGATGGTACATGGAGGGGAATATAAGCATTGTAATGAAACAAGTTGTATGATTTGTTGAATGTAAAACTAATGATCTGCCCTGTAAACTTACACAAAATCCATAATAAAAACTTAAAGAAAAAAAACAACCCACAAAAACTACAAAGCCTGCATGGAATCACAAGGAAACATCAGACATACCTAAACAAGAGGAGCAGTCTACAAAACAACCTGCAATCTTCCAAAGTATCAAGGTCATGAAAGTCAGGGATGAGAACTGTTCTAGATGACAGCAAACGGGGCAACTCAACACAATGTGTGGTCCTGGATCCGAGCCTTTGACTCTAAAGGAATATTGGGGCCACTGGTGACACCTGTGCTGTGGTCTCTTGAATTCAATGCGGTATGCTTCAGTGTTAAAGTCCTGGTTGTGATGGTGGTTTTGTGGACATGTAGAATGTCCTTATATGCAGGAATTACATACATGCTAAAAAAGCATTTGGAAATACTCAAATGAGTCAGGGAAAGAAGTTCTTTGTAAACAAACATCAAAAATGTCCTGCCGTGATCTTGACTGCGGTTATTTTGGAGTCTTGGATTACTGAGAAGTGCATTTCTCAGAAACAAAACAAACCTCATGACACCTCTTAGTAAATATACAAATCTCACCCCCAGTTTTCCAGTATGTTCCCCTTCTGCAAATTGGTGCTATTTTCCGTGTTATCTGGAGTTTCTGTTTGTTCATAATACAGGGCAGGGATGGCAAACTTTGGTAAAGGTCCAGATAGTAACTAATTTAGGATTTGCAGGCCATATGGTCTCCGTTATAACTATCCAAGTCTGTCAATGTAGAGCAAAAGCAGCCTTAGACAATATGTAAGTAAATGTGGCATGGCTGTGTTCCAATAAAACTTTATGTACAAACATGGATTTGACCTGCTGGTTGTAGCTTACCAACATCCAATATAGAATACTTTTTAAAATTATACATATTCTTTAATCCACTTTTAGTAATTAGCCAGAAGATTAGAAGCAGCCTAAATAAATATACAGTTAACAGGGTATTGGTTGTATAAATAACAGTACCTAAGGATGACGATGCACTGGACCACATGGTCAGTGGTTCAGGCTCACCAGTCGCTTCTCAAAAACCCTATACAGTGTTGCTATGTATGAGTCAGACCCAACTTCATAGCACTTAATAACAAAGGATAATAACATAGGAGCCCTGGTGGCGCAGTAGCTAAGCGTTCAGCTGCTAACATAAAGGTCAGCAGTTTGAACCCACCTGTCACTCCACGGGAGAACGATGTGGCAATCTTCTTCTGTAAAGATTTACAGCGTTAGAAACCTCAGGAGGTAGTTCTGCTCTGTCCTTTAGGGTTGCTATGAATTGGCATCTGGTAGCGAAGTGGGTTACACATTGGGCTGCTAACCACAAGCTCAGTTCAAATCCACCAGTCTCTCCTCAGACACCCTATACAGGGTCGCCACGAGTCAGAACTGACTTGAGGGCACTTAACAACAACAACCGCAATGACAATGGGTTTCTTTATTTTTAAGGATAATAGATTCAGTCATTAAAGAATAATATTTAACTAAATGTTTCTGCACATATACACTTATTTCCTTAGGAAGTCCTGGACTCAATCCTGCCTCCATCCATCTCACAGAAGGGAGGCATTACCCAAGAGGTTCACATGAGCGGCCATCACCTCAGTGCTTCACCTTTAAGGTAGGCCTGGTAACAGAATCTCACTGACATCATGGCAGAGAAATGAAATCATAATATGTAGAAAACTACTCTGTACTATGTAACGTGCCACAAGGGAGGAGGATTTATTCTAGGACAGGTTTCAGACTTCCTCCTGCTTGGCCTCTGCTCTTGTAGCTCAAATCCAAAGGCACAGCCTCTTCACCCACGAGATGCACAGCTTCCCACCCTCGCACACTGTGATGCTTCTCTGTCTAGACAACGAGGCTCTCTACAGACAACCAGATGACAAATTCCTCAATGACATGCATATGTATATGTACATATGAATGTATATGTAATCCCTGTCTCCATTTCCCTTGTTAACACCTGCCACACATAAGACACAAAGAGTCAAGTGGGAACACAAAATAAGTGTGGGGGTCTGACATCAGAAATCTGAGTTGAATCCTGGCATCTGTCACTTGTTTATACTCTATGAGATTGTAGGGACTCTGGGGTCTCCATCTGTCCCATAAGCATTGTCCCTGGGCTCCAGTGGGCATGCTCAAACAAAAAAACCCTGCCTCAGAGCCAAGAGATGCCACAGTGTTGGAACCCTTTTATAAATTCCTCAAATAAGGACATCCTTGTGGCATCTGGCATCTTAGATGGTTCTAACCTAAATGCACCTGCTGCAGAGTTAGACGCCTCTTCCGAGTTCTCATCATTACCAACAAGCAGCGTACGTCTCACTCATTTTCTACTTTATGTCAAATCCCATGCTGTGTTTATTATTATTATTATTATTATTCTTGCTTCAATTTTGGAGTACGTAAAACAAACTTTATTATTACAAAATATTATCTTTGCTCCTACCCACCCCTCAAACAAGACTCCCATAAGGAAAAAGCCAACCCAAAGAGACCCATGATTCATCTGGTTTCTAGAGATAAGCTATACGTGGCCCTCGAAGCTGAAGGGAGCCCCTCTGTCAGGCAGAAGTACCCACTTACTACTCACCCCAAACGATACTGGCTCCCAACCCTCAGATCAAATCAAAGCAAGCTGAGGGCTAACCAGACATAAGCCAGTTAGTGCTTAGGAGAGGAGGTAGGTGCAGAGAGTGTGCATGGTACCTGAGTAGGCGTTTGCTCAGCCGCCTGGATCTGAAAGTTCTGGGAGGGCTTCTGGGGGACGGTGGGGAGGGTGGCGGATGCGGCCTGCACCACCCGCAGGGCCTGCTGGGGGATCTGCACCACCTGCTGCTGTTCTGCCTTGGGGGGCACCACCTGGACCTGCTGGACCACGGCCGGCTGACCCCCACCAGGGCTCTGAACGATGAGCAGGTTGTTTCCCGCCTGGATGATGTTGTCTGCAGTGGTCTCAATCAGCACCGTCTCCACCTGCTCTGCCACAGCCACGGGGGCCTGGGAGGCAGGAAGGCTCTTCTTCCTGGCTTTCTTGTTGGACTTGGACAGCGGGGTCGGGGGGCTTTCAGTGAGCAGCTGAGTCGTGGCTCCGGTGTCACTGGTGTTCACAAGGTTGTTGACGGGTAGAGTTAGCGTCACATTGCCTCCCCCACCCGTCAGCTTCACCACATTAGTCCCGCTCTGCACCGGGGTGGTAGTTGTACTCGACTTCTGGGCGGGGGCTGGCTTAATGGGAACAGGCTTGTGACTGGACGGTGAGGGGGTGATGATGGCTTGATTGGTGCCAGGGATGATCTGGATCTGGTTGGTGAGATTGGGCTGCACTTGGATGGTCTGGGAACTGCTCGCTTGAATCTGCGGGACCGCCTGGTACTGGATGTTGGCATTGGACCGGCTCCCTTTGTTGATCATGGTAGGATTCTGGATGGCGAACACCAGCTGCCCCCCCGGGTAGGATGTGCTCAGTTGTGATCCCTGAATTTGAAGTATATTTCCTTTGGAGGACAAGATTCCAAAACTGTTCTTGCCAAGACTGAGAGGGAGAGGGGCAGGTTTGATAGGGACGAGTTTCCGTGGCGTGGGCTGGGGGGGTGCAGGAGGTGTCACAGCAGCTTCAGCAGCTGGGGGGCCAATTTTGCTACATGTTGCAGCAAGCAGGGCAAGAGGAGAAGGTTGGGAGTCCTGCAAAAAACCAGAGAAAAGGAGTGAGACTTGAAGGCCTGCTGCTCAGCTGCCCTTCCTTCTTCATGACCCTGTCTCCTGGCAGCTCTCATCAAAGGCCCCTTCCTGCCTCTGTGGTAGGCAGTTGCCAGCTCCTCCCTGTAGTGGCTCCTGTTGCCCCTTCCTGCCTCTGTGGCAGGCAGTTGCCAGCTCCTCCCTGTAGTG